ATCATTATTATTATAAGTATTATAAGTGACTGATAGTAAATGGTAATTATAAGAATTATAAATAAACAAGATATATAAGAAGTAATTGATGGAGAATGAGTTGAATAGTGTTTATAAGAATTATGAGTAACCAATTGAGAATGAGATATATAAGAAAGAGAATGAGTTGAATAGTAGTTATGATGATTATAAGTAACTTATTAAGAACAAGATATATAAAAATAAGAAGGAGTTGAATAGTGGTTATAAAGATTATGAGTAACTAATTGAGAATGAAATATATAAAGTTGTTAGAGTTAACAATTGTATCAAATGTAATTAGTTAAGAAAGAAATATAGTTGTAGTTATAGTTATAGAGGTAAATAGAGAAGGTGCAAATAAGTTTGAATTGGTTAAGTTAGTCAAGTTGTTTAATATTTTAATCCAAAATTTTCATTAATAAATTTATCTTTAAACACTGAAATCTGCTATATTTATATATTTTTGTATTTGTTCATTTAAAAATTTTAATTGAATAAAATTTAATAATGGTAATTGTTATTAAAGTATAAAATAAAAACTTATCTCATTTTTTCATTTTGTCATCAAATTTATAAACTATTACTAAAATTTACAGAATTGCTAACTTGTTATTATCTAACTAATATTACTCTAATATAAATAAATAATTTAATATTACTTATTATATTATGCATAATATATGCTAGTTTTTGTGTATGTTATTGCTTTACAAAAATATACAATACACAAAATTACTTAAACAATAAAATTAATTAATATTAATTTATGTTAATAAAATCTATCTAAATTAATTTTAATCGATTTATATAGATTTTATTGACATAAATCAATTTAAAAAAAACTCACATTATATTTTTTAGACTTTTCTATTTTTTCTTATAATTAATATTTATTTTAATTGCTCTCTTTCATTCTATCCTTTTTTTTTATTCTCTATCTTATTTTCTTTTTTTCTTATCTTTTTTTCTTTGCTTTAAAATAGATTAGCTATGTGATGATTGCAATTATTCATTGACAAGGCCTCAAGCCTTCATACAACATTATTTGCATAAGCATTCTAATATCCAAAACCCTACAAATTCAGAGTTTTTGGATAAACAAGTGGATGAAAACATTTGGAATTATCCAGAATATAGCTCTGATTATGATTCTTCAAAATATAAAGTAAATAGTTAATATTTTTTAAATTAAATCTAATATAGCTAATATAATTCATTTGACATCTGGGTTTGATAAATTATTAAATGAGACAAATAATAATTAGCTGATATATTATTAGCTAATATCATTTGTCCTGTTTGATAATTCATCGTATCCAAGTGTCAAATGAATTATATTGGCTATATTTGATTTTTATATAATAATAAATATTAAAGAATGACTATATTTCATTTAAAGTGAAAATATATCAATATCACCCCATTCTGAAAGTTCTAATAAGCATAGGCATTCTTTGATAGAAACAGAATCTCTTCAATCAGATACTATGCCTCTTTTAGTAGAAGATGATATACCTCAAAATACATCTGATAAAAGTGATCTTAAAAACTATAAGATGTATCATTTGATATTTTTTATAGATAAGATACTGTGTTTAATCTTGAAGATTACCAAATGACTTCATTTGAAAATTCTTTTAATGATTTAGATCATCCTCAGAATATTGAATAGTCTAGCAATACTTATTGTGAGTTTATAAAGATAGTTAATAAATACTGCTTGTCAAATTTGGCTAGTGATACTATTATAAGCTTCTTCAACAAGTTTTTCAATTTGGATACTTTACTACTTCCATTATTAACAAAGGCCAGAAAGGAATTTCTTGATGATTCTACTATTCTTTATATGGTATTTAAGGAAATTTCTATGACAATATTTCAAAATATTGAATATAAGTTTTACTATTAATTATTAATAAAGACTATAAAGTCTTTATTTATAATTGAAAGTACTAATCAGTCACTAGTCCTTAAGTATAAAAATAAAAAAGAAATAAGGAATAATAAAGACTATAGAATATTTGAAAAATAGTACAATAGTAATTGGTAGAAGCTAGAAAAATTGGTATTACTTCTTGGACAATATTTGTTGTTACATCCTTTATTTCGATACAACAACTCTAAACTATATAGGAAGATCTTTTAGGCATCTCTTGTTTTTATCTCTTGAGAATATCTTCAACTATCAAAGAAATAAACCAGAATCCAAGATATTAATCAGATACCTTCTAATCTTGAAAGCCAAGGATTCTAAAACAAAAAACTTTAAAGGTTTCTGAAAGTTGCAAAGAGAAGTATTCTATAAGTATACAATGATTCTTCTCAAGCCTATTATAAAAATACCAGAATTTAATTTTAGTATATATGGAAATATAATTACTTTTATTTCAAAATTTCAATAATTATTGCTAACATAGTTGAAGCTAATAAGTTTGCCAATGTTTATCAACTATTATCCTCAAGTTAACTATGTAGAAAATGCTTGGTATCAAATAATAACTTGAATAATACTAATTTAATAGGTATTATTTCAAAACTCCCAATGCTATAAGACAAGCAATAAGAGATAGAGAAGAATACTATTACTTATTTTATTCTGAAATAAATATACTTTGAGAAATTTAGTATATAATTTTAGTTTATTATCAATATATAGGCTTGGTGCTGGAAAAAGGAATGAATTTGAAAAAAATAATATTGTAATTATAATTAATTTTATAAATATTATTTTTTTTAAATCCATCTCTTTTTCCAATACCAAGCCCAAATTATCAAATTATTATACTAAATATAATAAATATAAAATTTTTAGAGAGTTTAATATATATAAAGCTATTATTTTTAATCAAATATATATACTGAATCTTGGCCTTTTTAAGTATATGCTGGATTATACTAAAGAGCTTCTATTAGACCAGTGTAAAAGCAAAGTGCTTCAAATTTTTTAAACAGCGATTAATATCGATTTCTTGATTTTCTGGCCTAAAA